AGATAAAGCTATGGAAAAATATATGTTCAGATTTGAAATGCCTAGCTCCTTATCGAACCCGGTGGAAGTCTAGTAGCTTCTTCAAAGTATCGCCAGTCATGAAAAGATCCGGTCAAATGACACGAGTTTAGATCTATGAACAAGGCACGAAATGGAAAAGAATCGGCGACAGGCCACATCAGGCCTACACTTCAGAGCCGACATCACTATGTTATGTTATGTTATGTTATAAGGTGCTTGTACACGGGGATAGTGCAGACGGCTAGTAGATCTGACAGTTGCCAAACTGTCTGCCGCTTGGTGTCTATCCCGCAAATAAGCTTAAACTTGCCTCGTGTCTGCGTTGTAACACATTCATGCGACATTATTTTCTTCTCGCTTCGAGTTACCGACATGTGGATCAGCCTCCCTCGCAACATCGTTGACGCTCCGAGTATGAACGCGTTCAAGAAAGGACTGAACAAAGCTATGCAAGAGCATATGTTCTGTCTTGAAATGCCTAGCACCTTACAAACCTGGTAATAAGTCCAGTACCTATCGCAAACCAATGTCAGTTGTGAAAATATCTGGTGAAAAGGGTGGTTTTTAGATCTCCGGTTAATCATGTCCTGTGAATCAAGTCACCTTCTGTGAATCAAGTACAGTAATCGGCAACAGGCCATGGGCCTATTTCTTCAGCGCCGACACTTCTATTTTATTCTATTCTAATGACTAAATCGTGTGAGATGAAGAGAAGTTTGTCACGGCATAAAATCGAGACACACTTTTGTGCGGGGTCCGGACTGGAGAAATTGCATTATGTAGGTAATGCTTACAAGCATCAAGTCATGACTCACTTTTGTGCGGGGTCAGGACTGGAGAAGTTGCGTATTTGCTCCATCGTCCAATTGGCTGCCTGGAGCTCCGGCACGTCGCACCAATGAGGTGCCGCCTTCCCAAGAAAATCGGAAGACAGAATCTGCATAGGCGTCATCAGGCCGACTGAAATAAATGCGAAAAATTAAAACAAAATCGGAATTCCTTTTCAAAACGACTGGAGACATTTTCATTACTGCACTACACTAATAATGCTTATTTCGATGATGGTAGGAAGAATTTAAATGCCGTTGCCTTAGTTATTTTAATACAAAATAATATTTATTTATAGTAAGTAATTTTAAAATTTCAATCGAATTGTAATTTGCAGCAATTTTCGTCAATATGTAAATCTCTAATAATGAAAGTAATAAATTTTGTTTTTATATAAAAACCGTTCAAATTTACAATAGAAATGTTAATGGTATGTTAAACTCCCATGAAGAAAGAAACAGCTTGATTCCGCTAGCATTACAAATACGAAGACAAGTCCCAACACACCCGCAGAGCACGCGATCAGGACCAGAATGTTGTAGGCGCCCTTGGTGCCGACGAGCTCGAACACGTCCTCCAGAGTGTCCAGCTCGCCTGCAGGAGGCGCAGCAGCGGGACCCAGCGTGTCCAGCTCGCCTGTCGGAGGCACTGCAGCTGGGCTGTTACTTGACCGCTTCATCGTAGCCGCACAACAGTGTCGTCCCGCAAGAGAGTAATACTGTCAATTCATGCGTTCCGACATAATAATCACGACCTCGGAGAAGAACCTTTGGAAGCTGCCGCCTCACTTATCATCAGCGAGTCTAATTTTGCTATTCCTACTTCTAAAGTTCGAATATATATTATTTTATGCGTGTCTAGAAAGTATGGTTCTTCAGATCTAATTCAAACACAAGACGGATAAACACAAGGAATAAATACAGCGCCTGCGAAAGTACCAATAATCATTTCGTGCAGCATAAATGATAGACAAACAACAAATAAAAAAACCTTTCACCGTCACAGAGATTCATAAATTACTTCAATGAACAAATTCCTTCACTTTAATCAAGGCAATCATGGCTCTGAACGACTGTTGGTCAGCCTTGGGCTGGTGGCTCAGCAATTACGCGTGATTGTCCGGCGCGCGGTCCACCCAAACTTGCGTCCCGTTCCTGCATAGCATAAACTTGTGACTGTTATTGCGACTCTGACGGCATGACAGATAGCACGTCGGAACACACTGAGAATCAGATATTTCGCGAAATTTGTTATCATTTGACTTTGTCGTGCGTTTTTTTAAGCTGTACCACCACGAGCGTCGAGCATCATGCATGGGACGCTATCAGGAAGCACTGATGTTTTAGGCACCATCGATGTGAGTGAGTTCCCGTGAAAGTTCTAGGCAAATAGCGCTCCCTCTATAGACGCATTCAAAGACCATAGACCTCAGGCCACAGAAAGCTTCAATCTTTGCGTGATTTAAGCTTCAAATTTTTAATCATGACTTCGATTCGATATTTTAATCATGTCTTCTCCTCAATACCCAATCGAGGTACTATTAGAAGCTCCTTAAAATTAACGGAGTGCAATAAATTTTTCGAGATGACACAACGTGAAATCTATCAATATCCACCAGACAATAGTCATTACCGTAAATTCGTTCACACAATTTCATCCGACTATTCCCGACCAGATACAGCTTATTGTAAATTAACTCTTATTATCATTTAATTGAAGCCGTTGCAGACTGTGTACTGTAATTGTGACTCCTAATTGATTTGCTTACAATAGTTCAATTGTCCATCGCAATCATCAGCCTTCAAAGCTTCGAAGCTTTCAACGCACGCAAGGCCTTAAGAAATTCAAGGATTTTATGTGCATACAAAGTTTAAATACCTTAAAGGTATTAATGTCCTGTACATTTACTCGTAAAAGGAGCCAGCTATTCCTGCTTTCTGAACCCGCTTAACCTGTAGTAAACCGATGCCTGTTACGAGGAATCAAAATTAAATGCTCGTTCATTTTTTGGTTAAACATACATATATCTTTATATCGTCAAATATGTATAGCCAACAACACTCGGGTATTTCAAACAATTCACACAAGCAACACATCGTGCACAATATACAGATGCCTGTGATGGCGATCAGTCAGTCACGCGGTATTTACACTGTAGCACCATTTGCAAACACTGCCAGTTTCGTGTGCAGAAAGAGGATAGTGAAGATGGATGAGCAATATTTTTTGTCCATTCCAGCCAGATAAAAGTTATCATTATAAAGCAAGGCCCCACTCTAAGTTATAGAGCCAGCCGTTTGATATAACTGATTAATAACACGCTTGTTGCGTGACGACGCTTAGCACTTTTGTGGTAATACCAAAAGATGCAAGACCGAAAAACATCTCCTTAGTCCTTACCACCGCGATATGGACAAAAGAGATAGAAGACAACGTGACTCTGCATATTTCTTACTTGCAAACGTGTTGGCAAGCCAAGGAATTCCTTCTCAGTGCTATTTATTTTCATGCGGCATCAAGAATATTCACCTGAAGCCAAACTGTAGGCTAATTGGTCGCGAAATGCAGCACCTTCACTCGTTCTCTAGCCTCGTCAGCTTTAAAAACCAACATAATAATAGCAAATTATAGATAATTTCAGAACTATAAATTATTGCTTTTATGAAAATTACCTTCTGTTTGGATAAATTATTTTGAATTAAATCGGTCATTCGAGACAAAATCTGACACAAAAATCGAGATTAGAACCGCAATCATACGTAAACGTGTCTTCACTGGAATATTGGACTGAAAACCGGCAAGAAATTTCGAAATGGTAGATGACTAGATGACTTTGCGCATGACTTTGAGGTTTCATCCCAAATGTATTGACTTAACCCATTGCACTAAATTAACATATCATATCTTGAAGGTACTTCCTTCTTCTATTAACTGTTTCTTTAGTTTATGTAACTTTATTAATAATCAAATAATCCACGACGAGCATATATTACGACTAGCGGACATTTTCTGGTTGAACACATTTTTTAGCGTCACAACCTCTTCCTTCGGCTGCACAAACGGCACTGAAGGCGGAGAACCTGCATTTCGTGTGTCGTGCACAATGCAAATGCCTGTTACGTTTTCGGGCGATGGCAGGATTCCAAGAAACAATTACACAAATTTTGCAGTCTTCACAAACTTTTATGCAATAATGTATGCAATAAATCATTGATAATATCGATCCTAAATCCTGTAAGGTGCTAATTTACTCAATTTTCAGGCGAATGATCTTTTATTTGGGTGATAAGATTCAGAGCTTATTTATATAATTAGAGGCCTCTGTACCCCTGAGTCTACTGACGATACTGGCAGCCAGACCTTTACAGTACATAAGAATTGCATTGACGACGGGTAATGAATTAAAAGGGTTAAATGCACATTCATTTGCCACAGAAGCTCTGCGATCACCCACGACACGATATAATACTCTCATTCGTCAAGCGTTGATACTGAAAGATTTATAGGTTCCATGTCTTTTGATCTATTTCTTTATTCGTGGCATCGTGATCTGCATAGACAAAGCCAAAAAATGTGAAAAACAATAAGGAAACACAGCTGAAATACTTCGCGCAATTCATTATTCAGCTCCATCGTAAACACAGCTGAAAACTTTGTGCAATTCATTATTCAACTCCATCGTATCACAAGAACATGGATATAAACTATACTATTAGTACCGTTTAGGTTTTATTTTAGCATTAAGCATTGGAACTATTCTCGAGAAAACAAAATACATTAATAACATAAAATTCATGAATAAAAATACATTTCTTCATTATTGAATAGTATGAATTTAAAATGACAGTTTTGAGGAAGTACTTTAAACACGTGCTTTCGGGAATTAATTTTCAATGCGATAATTCGAGTGAAACTAGTGTCAGTTTATCAACTGCAGTGAACTAGCGATGTTACGTTATCACATTGACGGTGAATGTGTACGGTGACTGTTTAGTACTATCCCGAAAATTTCGGTGTGTGTTAAGAAATGAGAATCAATTGTAACCATCATTCTCTGAAATGATATGATAGGTGTCAGGGTAGCCCAGTGGTTACAGTTCAGAGTAACCACTGTGAATGTTCTGTGATGTTAAGAATCGGCGACAGGCCTACGGCCTACTAAACGCTGAAACCGCTATAATTATATTATTATAGGTGCGAGACTGCTGCGCTTACATTAGTCTATCCAAAATTTCTCGCAGAAAATGTACTTGAGTTCAAGGTTAACTCGCCTAGAAGCAGTAGTGTTAAGAATTCGTCAGAAAATGACACTAAAAAGTACGATCGCTGGACGTATGTTGTGTTTGTTTGTTTGAATAATAGGACTTGTTGTCGTTTACTATAAATGCCGTGTAGTAAAAATGTAATAAAAGTATTGAATAATATACGACAACAATATTTTTTAATTCTAAATTACAAAAAAAAATTCGCATTAGTTACTCATCGAGCGAAATGTTGAGCTCATGTCAATGTTGTGGCATACAAGGAAAATTTTCTATTTATTTGCCTCTTCGAAATCACATGAAGTTTCATTAGAATCAACTTTATCTATATAGCTTGTATTGTCGTGTAACAAACATCAATTTCTTTAAGCATTTTGCGAATCGTTTACTTTATAAAATGTATTTTCGGCACGACACGACACTGTCAAATATTTTCCTAATCTAAAATTATCTCTTCTTTACATATAGGTTCAACCATTTCAACGACGTTTCCCGGTAGTGCTGATGCATTTAAGCTTCATTAGCTCGTTGAGTCGTGAGAAAAATTAGTAAAATTAGGATCTTTTTATCTTCTTCATGAAGGGTGCTTACATTTTTCGATACATTTACTCGATACGATGTAGTCGTAATTTTAATGTCAGATCGACATCATCTCCAGTGAGAATTCGGTCTAGAATAGGTCAACATTTGCTCGACTTTCGACGACATTCCCGCTACGCCGACGTCAGCGAAATTCGATAACCTTCGTTAGAGGCGTTCCGTTACGGCGGCCACTTCTGTGTCGATAAAATAACGCCTCGTCGATTACGTTGCCAAGAAAATGCCATTGTATCGATAAAAAAAGTCAGTGTTAATCGCAACGAACGACGCTGACTCATGCCGAGTGTCTATAATGCTGAAGGAATTCCTTACTCTTTTGCTATTTTCGATAATGGTTTATCCAACATTTAGGATAATTATCGGTAATGCAAGTAAATCACACGCCATCTTCAGATCAACCGCATTTAAAATAAGGTTATAATTGCTGGATAGCTCTAAATTCTCTCGGTTAGTGACAAATATTCTGGTAAACCCTTTGGTAGCTATGTTAAATAAATTAAAATTATAATTGAAATATATAATAAATATTTATTATAATATTTTTTATTATTAATATATAATAAAAATTGAAATATATAATTTTTAACAAAGTTTTTATTAAATTGTCTGTTCAAAGTTTCAATTGAAGTTTATTTTTTAAACTTCATTACGAGCTGCTGCTGTCAAGCTTTAATTAACAATCTATATTAGTTTTGCGACACGGCTTACGAATAAAATTGTTATCATGCTTGACATAATTATAGCGTTTGCCAGTAATATCTTCAATTAAATGACCGTAATTATTATTTGTCTTGAAATACTCTTTTTTTACCGAACCCTTCGATGCGTAAATTTCGTACGTTGACCGATCTAACTCCACAATAATGCTTCGAACAATCTTGCTCATGATCGTGATCTTTGTTAAAAAAACATTTATTAACATATATTACTTACTAAACATTAGGCACCCTCAAATCATACCTACGCACACCCAATTTTTACATGGACGATGGCTTGATTTTTTACGATGCAGTTGCGCAAGAGATGAGCCAATACGCGTGCTAAGTAGTTAGCTTTAGG